GTGCGCGTGTGTGTGCGAAGAACCCTTTAAGTGTCACTATGTTCCACTAAAATTCTAAGAAACACAATAGAATGGACGTGGCATGTGAAAAGTGTTGTTTTTTTAATCGTGTGAAGAATCCTTTAACTCATTGAAGACACAAAAACTCTGGTTATTCGAACATTTGAAGAAGCTTAACTTCGCTATCCATTTAGATTTTAAACAATATATTACTTTCTTTTTTTCTGAGCCCTAAAAAGTAAAAAAACAAGAATTCAGGATGCATATTGTGAAATGTTAAATCTCGTGTTTCTGGTTAGTGCATGTAGGTTCAAAATGAGTCGCAACATTGGCTTTGGTCTGTTTCTGGTCGGACAAATGTGTCTGACGCGTCCTTAAAGAGTTACGTGTTACTGTTTTCCACTGAAATTAAAAGAAAAAACACACACACACAACAGAAGAGACGTATCGTAAGAGAAAATTGTTTTTTTTCTTTGAAAAATCCTTTAAGAAGCTTTAATTCCCAGTGAAATTCCAAGAAATGCAGCATATAGGTTTGATTCTGACATAATGTGGAAAGTTGTTGGGTTTTTATGTGTGTGTGTGAAGAACCCTTTTGTAAAAAAATTCAAATTAATTCAATTTAACTAAAAACATACCAACGGATAGAGCCTAGAACACTGATTATTTTACTTTTTTAATTTTTTTTCAGATAGCTTTATTACTTCAAACGTTATGGCCAATACTCATTGTTCCTAGTTCCCACTGATACTCCAAGAAACACAATATCCTGGATGTATTATGTGAGAAGTTGTTCTAATTAGGTAAAGGGCCCTTCTTTATGAAGTGTCCCTAATCCCCACAGAAATTCCAGGGAACAAAATATCCTGGACCGAAGGTCTACCAAAAATTGCCACTTTCGCATATCCGAAATTGTTCCAGGTTGACATATCGTGTTTCTAAGAAAAGATTTTTGGAGTGCAAAAAAAAATAAAAATTGACAAACATTCTTCAAAACATGTTCCATTCAGATCTGGAATATTAATTCGCTGAACGGAAAAAGAATTACAGTTTAGGTAATTCTTCGCATCATATTAAGCTTTTCTACAGCTCTTTTTGGTTCATGGTTTTGGTTTCAGGTTTTTTTCAGTGGGACGCCCTCTTATGACTTCAAGTAAAGATCGAAAAGGTTTTCCTTTTTTTACGCCAGTTTCAACAATAATATTAATAATAATAATGATAATGGGTACAATTATCACGGCTTGGCAAAAGGAGAAAAAAAGGGAAAACTGCTGTTCATATTATGTATTTTTTAAAGTTTTAGTAGAGGTTTTACGGCGCTCGCAACTGCATAAGGTCATATGAGCGCCAGAAGATTAGAGAGGTTACAAGAGAGTAACAAACATAAAAAAGAACAAGGGGAGATAAGGACGATAGATGTTTGATAGGAAAGAAGGAGCAAACCACACCAGAGCACCCACCAACCACCCACATATTATGTATGGATATAATATATAT